CCGACATTCTTACCACCACTAACCCTAGCATGGCTACACCTCAGGCCAAGGTAAGACAGGCTGCCAAGACTCACCGGTGACAAGGAGGTAGGTCCAGGGTCCCAGATGAGAATGCAGCTTCTGGCAGCCACAGCCAAGACAGAGGCACTGAGGGGCTTCCAGGCCAGAGTCGCCACATTTTCGCTGCAGCCGGTGCTTCAGGGAGGGTACTATATTGCTGAGATGAAGGTAGGAACTGAGTCAAAGGGACACTAAAGGTCAGGGGACCACAGATGGTTAAGGATCGAAAGCCACAGAGAAGCAGTTGATCCATCCAGGGCTCAGGGTATAAATGGGACAGAAGGGAGAAAATAAGTTTAGTCAGAAAGAGGACATATCAATATAGGAGCTTCCTTGACCCCAGTTCTGGAAGAAGCCTGTGGACGAGACTCAGGAACTGCAAAACTCTCTTGGGACCAAGACTGGAGAGGAAGGGGAGATTGACAAGTCAGAGCCCACCTGCGTACACCCACACCATACCTGTTGGCATTATACACGCGGATTGATCACTAGCAGGGCTACCGCAAACTTGTGGTGTGGGGGTCCATGCAGACACCAAGCAGCAGTGGACTAGGCAGAGTGAGCATGAAACTCAGAACTGACCTACATACCCAGCCAGAGGCTCGATGCTTCCCCATGAAGAGAGAGTTGTTTTCTACTTTTTCTTGTATTCCTTTTGGGGTGGGTGGGCCAAGAAAGAAATTGGGTGAGCAGTCAGGAAATGATAGAAGTTTCTGCTTTGAACTCTTTTTCCCCAGAAGTTGTTCCAAGGTCGGCGCTTCCTTCCCACAAAGCCCCAGAGGCTTATGCACTCCCAATTTGTGACTTGGGCAAATTCAGCAATCAGATCTTCATTCTGAGCTGTAGAGCAAAGCAGATAGAGCACACCTTTGGACAAAGGAGCTCATCCCTCAACATTCCCACGAGGAACCAATCTCCTACATGCAGTCAACACACCAACCCCTGCTGAAGGATAAGTGGGGCACAGGGTAGGGAGGAGGCCAAACTTACAGACAGATGGGGAACAGGGACCCATGGAGGGAGGAGGCCCATCGACAAAGTGCCAGGGCCCACTGACGCCGTTTCACCCACTCCAACACTATGGGATAGAGGAAGAGCTCTGATTAACCATTCACAGGCTCTCTGCGCACCCTTAGGTAAAGACAAAACAAGGACAAGCAATCCCCAGGTCCTCTGCCCAGCAACACATCCACGCTGAGTTATTGGGTAGGTAAAAATGGAGAAGAGGACAGGAAAATAGCACTAAAGGGAATGAGGCTGGGCCAAATGAGTTCAAGAGAATATGGAGGAGATAACAACCTAGAGAAGCAGGAGAGGAAATACTTACCTTCCTCCTCTGAGTTTGCAATTCTTCAAGCACCCCAAAACGCCCATATCACGCTGATAAGGACAGGAAACTTGAGTCAGATTCCCTAATAATCCAGTCACTATAAGTTTCATTCATTCATTCCAGATACATGTATTAAAATGAGGCACTTTTTTTTTTGAGACAGAGTCTCGCTGTTGCCAGGCTAGAGTGAGTGCGTGGCGTCAGCCTAGCTCACAGCAACCTCAACTCCTGGGCTCAAGTAATCCTTCTGCCTCAGCCTCCGAGTAGCTGGGACTACAGGCATGACCACCATGCCCAGATAATTTATTATATATATATAATATTAGTTGGCCAATTAATTCTTCCTATTTATATAGCGGGTCCCCTCTTGCTCACTGGGTTTCGAACTCCTGACCTCGAGCAATCCGCCGCCTCAGCCTCCCAGAGTGCTGGATTACAGGCCGTAGCACCACGCCAGCGCTTTTTTTTTTTTTGACCAGAGTCTCACTTTGTTGCTCAGTAGAGTGAATGCCGTGGTGTCACCCTAGCTCACAGCAACTCAAACTCCTGGGCTCAAGCAATCTGGCTTGCCTCAGCCTCCAAGTAGCTGGACACAGGCATGCGCCATCATGCCCGGCTAATTTTTCTATATTATTCGTTGGCCAATTAATTTTTCTATTTTTAGTAGATGGGTCTCACTCAGGCTGGTTTCTAACCTGACTTGAGGGACCGCCCGCTCTGCCTCCCAGAGTGCTTAGGATTACAGGCATGAGTCACCTCGCTGGCACTCACTTTTATAAGGCACTATGTACCAGGCACTCTATATATTGCCCTTTCATTTACTTATCAATTTATCTTCTGAATGGCATTCTGCCATTTACAGATGAGCCAACTAAGGCTGAGAAATCTTCTGGGGCTTTGTGAGCAAGTCAAGGAGTCAGGATTGCTCTAAGTCAGTAAATAAAAGCCATGGAAGGGTTTAAGCAAAGGAATAAGATGATCACATTAGTATTTAGAAATCAATCTGGTCAGGTATGGGGGGCTCACACCTATAATCCCAGCATTTGGAGGCCAAGGCCAAGAACAGCTTGAGGCTAGAACTCGGGCCAGCCTGGGCAATCAGCAAGAGCCCTGTCTCTACAAAAAACTTTTTAAAATATAGCCCTGAGACAGTAAGTTGGTGATCATGCTACTGCCTCCAGCCTAGCAACAAAGAGAACGTGTCTCAAAAAAAAAATAAATATCAGTCTGTCTGTAGATTAGAGGAGGACAAGAATAGAGAGAAGAAATCAGTTAAGAGGTTACTTCAGAAATCTAGAAACGGTAATAGTGGCCTGAACCAGTAGGGTTGAGAAAAGGAGACACATTAGAAGGACTCAGGAAGTAGCAGGAACAAGTCTGGGACTAATTAGACATAGTAAGAAAAAGTAATATCAAAGAAACATCTAGCTGATAATATTTCCTTAATTTTTGTATACCTATGTTGAACTAATGTAGGTATATATCAGCTAATATGCTTACAATAGCCAGGCCCTGGACTAGTGCTTCATATGATCAATTTAACATCTATCACACCCTCACAAACAGGTATTGACAGGTATCACTGAATGTTAGATGGGAGTACACAGGTGTGAAGAGGTTAGTTAATATGAACAAGATGACCTAATAGAAAGAGCAAGTCAGGATCAACCATCTGTTACCCAGAGTCTACAATAAAACACCTGCTCCTGAATGAAAAATATGATCATCCTAGAATGAAATCCCAGTTGGAAAGGGAAATTAAGAGATTAGGTTTGAACATGCTGAAGTTTGAAGTCTGTGGAATAGCCAAGCAGGAGTATTTGTCAACAAGTGAACACACGGTCTGATGTATCAATTGTAAATACAACCCCAGGACAACAACATCAGGAAACATCAGGAAAAGAGCCACCATAAAGGCTGAGAAGCCAGCAGCTGGAGAGGTAGGAGCAAGAAAGAGCCCAGATGATATGCCTTTTCAGACAGTGGAATGATGTTCAACTTCACTTCACAGAGACATGCTAACGAAACTTTACTAGCAATACTAAATAGCAAGTTTGATAGCACATGTGTTGGGAAACAGGCTACTCTCATACACTGGCTGTTGGACAATATATGTACACTTCAACAGAGACTTTTTGGCACGCTCCCAAAATACAGACGTAACTAACCCTTTGAACCTAGCAACTACTTCTAGAAATTCATCTTATAGATGTAATGGTAATAATAAAATAAAAAGTAATAGTAGCTGGACCATGAAGGGATTAGTACGTGCCAGGCACTGTTTCTCTAGTGTAATCTATTATTCATTTAATCATCACTAAACTTGTAAGACAGGCTCCATTTACAGATGAAGAACTGAGCACAGATGATTAAGTAATTTCCCAATCACACAGCTAAAAGTCGGCATAGTCAGGAAAACGAACCCTGATCATGTGGTTCCATCCTACAGGTGCAAATGAATAACTTATGTATGAGATTATTCAATGCCACTTAGTATCTAACCTGGCCGAGCTTCAGGTAAAAGTCAGAGTGGTAAGGATATGTGAGATGGGGTAGCCAAGCAGTTCACTACTCAAACCAGAAGCAAGGCAAGAAAGATGAAAATGGAAGCTACTGTCGCACAACTTGGGTTCCACCAGTAAGGACATGATAATTTCATAGGATTATGAGTTACAGCTGATAAGAGAGTCGGAAAAAAAAAAACCCAGCCTTTTGAAGAGCAGCACAAGGCACAGGGTCGGTGACCATTTTCTCCAAGATCTGCAGACCACGGCCAGGAAATCTTATGCATTCCTCCAAATGTTGATGCACTCTTCCACACTTGCTCCCGGTGCATGGATGAAGGCAGTCCTTGTGCCATGTCCAGCCTTCCCAGGGGTCTTTAGAGGATCCTTGGGCCGTGTAGGACACCCCCCCCCCTGGGAAGATTGATCCACTACAACAAAGATGTGACAGGTTGTGATAGGGAGTCAGTCTATTCCAATCCTTACTGGGAACTCTGCCATCTCCAACCCATAACTGGCTAAGTATAAGAGACTCAGAGGCCTTGTTCCTTTTTCCACCAAAATAGCACTTGGTGATACGGAACGAGTTTAGCTCCTTATCTGTAAACCAGAATCATATTTCATAGGGTTGCTGTCATTACTAAAGGAAGTAAAACATTTTAGAAGCACCCGACTCGAGTCTCCTTACACAGAATGCTCAATTTGTTCCTTTTCCTTCCAGGAAAACCACGAAAGTCCAATTGTGACTTCCCAGTTCTCCGACAACTGTCCGCAAGTTTCGTATCTCTCAAAAAAAAAAAGAAAAACAAAACAGTCCCTAATGCCAAAGAGGTTGGGGAACACTGCCCTACACCATTCTGAGAACTTGTTCAAACTTGGGAATAGTGTATAACCCAATGCTAGGTATTACCTTCCTTCACACTAACTTCTCAGCTTTGCTTTCCAAATCATTGCAAACCATCCATGTCCTTAGGGTTACATAACTTAACCAAATTCACAGAAGTAGCTAAAAAGTGACAGAGTAGGACCTTAGTATAAAGTCTATGCTGCCCTCCTACCCCCAACTATACCCCAGTGCAATTCCCTGGAAAAGACAAGTATGGTAATTGAGTGGAAAACAAGACATTTTTTATTATTGGATATGGGGATAAGAGGAATGGGACTGAGCAGGTGGGGGTCCTGGGAGAGAGTCCCAAGGGGCAGAGGTTAGGCACGTCTCAGTAAAGAGGGGCAGGTCATGAGTAGAGCTTACACCTCCAGCTGGGAGCTCTTGAGCCCGGCCAAGCACTGGGCTAAAACGTGGAAACTGGGCATTAACAAAGTACAGAGGGATGTGGGCAATTCGGCCTGTGGACCAGCACTACAGAGAGGGGAAAGAAAAGTATCAGAGCCTGGGCCCAAAGAAGGCCACTTGGCAGAACCACACAGAAGCCCAAGCCCTCAGCTTCCCCCGCCCCGACCCAAAATTCAGCAGCCTGGCATACTCACCACACTGAGCAGGGCCCCTTTGCTGAAGGAAGGATGGAAAGTGATGAGCTGAGCCTGGGCTCCAGGCTCCCCCTGAATAATGCCACTAGGAGAAGAAAAGATGAGCAGGAGACTAGAGGCAGAAGGGAGGTGAGTGTAACAGAATGTAGGTTTGGTACAAGAAGGCTGGTGACAAGCCCAGACCTTCTAGGGCCGTGCCCAGCACTTACCAAGGAAGAAGTTCAAACACAGGGCTATTTCGAGTGCGGAAAAGGAGAATGACTGGTTTACCATCCTGTACCCTCGGATTTCCTGTAAGAAACAGCTCCAGGGATAAGAAAATATTCGGAAGGCAGAGTTCAGGGCAGGGGCAGAGAACTACAGGCCAGGGCATGCACCTGATTAATGGGGATGATGGCTGTGGCCTGAATAAAGCCCTTCGTCCTGGCCTCTTACCTTTCATGAGCACAGCCAGACGTTCCCCACTGGGATCCCAGACCATGGAGTGGGCCTCTCCCCCAAGTCTATAGGTGAGGACAGGAGTTAGGAGAGCTCGGTGTGGTCCCTCCCACCTTCCATTCACTGCTACTCCCTCAACCACTCAACTCACCTCTCCTCACCATCTGGTGTCTGTACTGTTGTCTCAGACAAATCTGCCACAATTGTTGCTGACTTTGCACCTCCTACACACCCCTTTCCCTCACCTGTGGATAAGAGCAGACATTCTTTTTGTTTTTTTTGAGACAGAGTTTCGCTTTGTTGCCCAGGCTAGAGTGAGTGCCAGGGCATCAGCCTAGCTCACAGCAACCTCAATCTCCTGGGCTCAAGCGATCCTTCTGCTTCGGCCTCCCTTGTAGCTGGGACTACAGGCATGTGCCACCATGCCCGGCTAATTTTTTCTATATATATTAGTTGGCCAATTCATTTCTATTTATAGTAGAGACGGGGTCTCGCTCTTGCTCAGGCTGGTTTTGAACTCCCAACCTTGAGTGATCTGCCCGTCTCAGCCTCCCAGAGTGCTAGGATTACAGGCGTGAGCCACCGCGCCTGGCCTAAACCCATGTTTTAACCGAGCATAAGGTTGGTATCCAGACCCAACTTTTTTCAGCTCTCCCTGAGTAGCACTTTTCTACATACCATAGGTGTGTTCCTATGGAGGCCTGTGTCATAGGGCAGTTTTGCATAAAACATATCCCATAGTGTTTCTGCCCTGAGAGTCCTGAGGCATTATCTTCTCACTTCTTTAGGCTCAGGAGATGCAGCAACTGCTGATGTCATGTGGCACATTATAGGCTTCCCTGGAACCCCTAACCCCACATCCAGCTCTTGATGTCCAGCACTTGACTTTTGTGCTTGACCAGACCCTCCTGTGCATCCTTAATGATGTCACTGAATAGCCTACTCAGCCTACCTAGAGATTTACCCACCCCACTCAACCATTAGGATCCACACTCACAGAGCCCCCGTAAGAACTGGAGACCTTCCTTGTTCAAAAGTCAGTAGCCCCCATATGTTGGCCTTGGCTTTGTATACTAGAGTGAGCACTGGATTAGAAATCAAGTGATTTGAATTCCAATCTCAGCACTATTAGTTCTCTAACCTTAAACAAGCCATTGAACTCCTAATTCTTTTCATTTCCTCAGCCTATTAATGTTGAGATCCTCACAGGGCTATTGTGAAGATTAAGTGAAAGAGCGTGTTCGAAAATACTTTGAAACCTGTAAGACTTTACACAAATGGTAGGTAGCCTCAAGAGCATTTCCCCTGCCTTAGATGTACGAGAACTTTGTGGAGGAGGTGGATGCAGTGGACAATGGGATCTGTCAGTGGGAGGAGGGGGAGCCTCGATACGCACTGACCACTACCTTGAGTGCCCGGGTTGCTAGACTTAATCCTACCTGGAACCAGCCTGATCAAGACACTGAGGTAAGGAGGGCCCCTGGGAAAGAGACCCTGAGACGTGTAAGAACCCTGAGAGTGTTCGTTCCTCCTAAGCCCTAGCAAATTCAAAGTTTGGGCAAGCACCATAGTTCTCATTCCTGCCATTCCCAGGAAGGGTTCAAGCGTGCAATGGATCTGGTCAAAGAGGAGTTTCTGCAAAGACTGGATTTCTACCAACACAGCTGGCTGCCAGCCCGGGCCTTGGTGGAAGAGGCCCTGGCCCAGCGATTTCAGGTACAGGCCTAGGAGGAGGCATTGTGGCTTGGGGATCAGTGGCTGCTGACAGGCTGCTGGGCAACAGGGGCTCCTGCTTCTACCCTAAACCTTCTAACTATATTTCACTTCCTTTTCAGGTGGACCCAAGTGGAGAGATAGTGGAACTGGCAAAAGGAGGATGTCCCTGGAAGGAACACCTCTACCACTTGGAATCTGGGCTCTCTCCCCCTGTTGCCATCACCTTTGTTATCTACACTGACCAGGCTGGACAGTGGCGGGTACAGTGTGTGCCCAAGGAGCCCCACTCATTCCAAAGCCGGTGAGGCCCCAAGGAACCACACTGCAGATCTTCAGGCCTGTCTCAGCCCTGTTATAGAAGGCTACTAACCTTGACCTCTACTCTGCTCCCATTTCTCTTGGCTCCTCAGGCCTCCATTTGCTCCCACCAACTCCCTCTTTCTGCTCATTTGTAGGCTTCCTCTGCCAGAGCCCTGGCGAGGTCTTCGGGACAAGGCCCTGGACCAGGTCAGCGGGATCCCAGGCTGCATCTTCGTCCATGCCAGTGGCTTCATTGGTGGGCACCACACCCGAGAGGGTGCCTTGAACATGGCCCGTGCCACCTTGGCCCAGCGCCCACACCTACCACAAACCCCCTAGTCCAATAAAATTTCTTCCAACTCATACTGACCCAATCTGTGACCCATGATTGCCCTACACCAGGGGTCCCCAACCTACAGTGAGTTGTATAATTATTTCAGTATACATTACAGTGTAATAAGAATAGAAATAAAGTACACAATAAATGTAATGTGTTTGAATCATCCCGAAACTATCCTCCCCCATCCATGGAAAACTTGTCTTCCATGAAAATGGTCTTTGGCTAGGCTCAGTGGCTCATGTCTATAATCCTAGCACTCTTGAGAGGCCCAGGCAGGAGGAGGATAGCTTGAGCTTGGAAGTTCGAGACCAGCCTCCAAGGCACTTGCCTGGGCAACAGAGTGAGACTCTATCTCCAAAAAAAAAAAAAAAAAAAACAGGCTAGTCATGGTGGCTCACACATATAATCCTAGCACTCTGGGAGACGGAGGCAGGAGGATCACTCAAGGTCAGGAGTTCAAGAGCAGCCTGAGAAAGAGTGAGACCCCATCTCTACTAAAAATAGACAATATCTGGACAACTAAAAATATATATAAGGCCGTACATGGTGGCTCATGCCTGTAATCCTAGCACTCTGAGAGGCCGAGGCTGGCAGACTGCTCAAAGTCAGGAGTTTGAAACCAGCCTGAGCGAGACCCAGTCTCTACTAAAAATAGAAATTAATTGACCAACTAAAAATATATATACAGGCCGGGCGCTGTGGCTCACGCCTGTAATCCTAGCTCTTGGGAGGCCGAGGCGGGCGGATTGCTCAAGGTCAGGAGTTCAAAACCAGCCTGAGCAAGAGCGAGACCCCGTCTCTACTATAAATAGAAGAAATTAATTGGCCAACTGATATATATATATATAAAAAAAAAAATTTAGGTGCTCACCAAAAAAAAAAAAAAATTAGCCGGGCATGGTGGCGCATGCCTGTAGTCTCAGCTACCCGGGAGGCTGAGGCAGAAGGATCACTCGAGCCCAGGAGTTTGAGGTTGCTGTGAGCTAGGCTGACGCCACGGCACTCACTCTAGCCTGGGCAACAAAGCGAGACTCTGTCTCAAAAAAAAAAATATATATATATACAAAAAAATTAGCCAGGCATGGTGGTGCGTGTAGTCCCAGTTACTCGGGAGGCTGAGAGAGGAGGATTGCTTAAGCCCAGGAGGTTGAGGTTGCTGCGAGTTAGGCTGATGCCATGGCACTCACTCTAGCCTGGGCAACAAAGTTAGACTCTGTCTCAAAAAAAAAAATATATATATATATATATTTTATATATTACAGCCGGGCATGTTGGCATACATATAGTCCAGCTACTTGGAGTCTGAGGCAGGAGGATTGCTTGAGCCCAGGAGTTTGAGGTTGCTGTCAGTGAGGCTGATGCCACAGCACTCTAGCCCAGGCATCAGAGCAAGACTGTCTAAAAAGAAAAACAAGGGGGGGAAATGGGCATTTATTGAAACCTTAAAATCTGTACCCCCATATATGCCAAAAAAAAAAAATAATTAAAAAAGAAAAAGAAAAACAAACAGTCCTAATGCCAAAGAGGTTGGGAACATGCCCTACACCATTCTGAGAACTTGTTCAAACTTGGGAATAGTGTATAACCCAATGCTAGGTATTACCTTCCTTCACACTAACTTCTCAGCTTTGCTTTCCAAATCATTGCAAACCATCCATGTCCTTAGGGTTACATAACTTAACCAAATTCACAGAAGTAGCTAAAAAGTGACAGAGTAGGACCTTAGTATAAAGTCTATGCTGCCCTCCTACCCCCAACTATACCCCAGTGCAATTCCCTGGAAAAGACAAGTATGGTAATTGAGTGGAAAACAGACATTTTTTATTATTGGATATGGGGATACAGAGGAATGGGACTGAGCAGGTGGGGGTCCTGGGAGAGAGTCCCAAGGGGCAGAGGTTAGGCACGTCTCAGTAAAGAGGGGCAGGTCATGAGTAGAGCTTACACCTCCAGCTGGGAGCTCTTGAGCCTGGCCAAGCACTGGGCTAAAACGTGGAAACGGGCATTAACAAAGTACAGAGGGATGTGGCCAATTCGGCCTGTGGACCAGCACTACAGAGAGGGGAAAGAAATAATCAGAGCCTGGGCCCAAGAAGGCCACTTGGCAGAACCACAAGAAGCCCAAGCCTCAGCTTCCCCGCCCCCACCAAAATTCAGCAGCCTGGCATACTCACCACACTGAGCAGGGCCCCTTTGCTGAAGGAAGGATGGAAAGTGATGAGCTGACCTGGGCTCCAGGCTCCCCTGAATAATGCCACTAGGAGAAGAAAAGATGAGCAGGAGACTAAGGCAGAAGGGAGGTGGAGTGAACAGAATGTAGGTTTGGTACAAGAAGGCTGGTGACAAGCCAGACCTTCTAGGGCCTGTGCCCAGCACTTACCAGAAGAAGTTCAAACACAGGGCTATTTCGAGTGCGGAAAAGGAGAATGACTGGTTTACCATCCTGTAACCCTCGGATTTCCTGTAAGAAACAGCTCCAGGGATAAGAAAATATTCGGAAGGCAGAGTTCGGGCAGGGGCAGAGACTACAGGCCAGGCATGCACCTGATTAATGGGGATGATGGCTTGTGGCCTGAATAAAGCCTTCGTCCTGGCCTCTTACCTTCATGAGCACAGCCAGACGTTCCCCACTGGGATCCCAGACCATGGAGTGGGCTCTCCCGCCAAAGTCTATAGGTGAGGACAGGAGTTAGGAGAGCTCGGTGTGTCCTCCCACCTTACTTCACTGCTACTCCCTCAACCACTCAACTCACCTCTCCTCACCATCTGGTGTCTGTACTGTTGTCTCAGACAAATCTGCCACAATTGTTGCTGACTTTGCACCTCCAACACACCCTTTCCCTCACCTTGGATAAGAAGCAGACATCTTTTTGTTTTTTTGAGACAGAGTTTCGCTTTGTTGCCCAGGCTAGAGTGAGTGCCAGGGCATCAGCCTAGCTCACAGCAACCTCAATCTCCTGGGCTCAAGCGATCCTTCTGCTTCGGCCTCCCTTGTAGCTGGGACTACAGGCATGTGCCACCATGCCCGGCTAATTTTTTCTATATATATTAGTTGGCCAATTAATTTCTTTCTATTTATAGTAGAGACGGGGTCTCGCTCTTGCTCAGGCTGGTTTCGAACTCCTGAGCTCAAGCAATCCACCTGCCTCGGCCTACCAGAGTGTTAGGATTACAGGCGTGAGCCACCGCGCCCGGCCGTATCAACACTCATGAAGTCTCCTAAACATCTATAGTTAACCCTCAGAGTAGCATCTTACAGAAGGTTGCTGCCCCCCGCTGACCACCCCAGATAGTCTGCATCCTGAAGTATTGCCCTAACTCACCACAACGTTCTGGGAACAATAAGGAGTAAATCAGTGGCTCCCCCAAAACAGTGAACAGCAGTCGGTTTCCATCTGGGCTCCAGCAGCCAGTCTAAGGTCAGGGAGCAAAAAGGCAGAAGAAAGGAGGTCTACAGGGGAATGTAGGAGGGAAAGAAGTAGAGGTGGCCAGGCTTGAGGGATCAGGGGCCCTTTGGAATCATCTCCCCAGCTTCTGTGAATCACAGTTCCCTCTTACCTGACAGCGCCCTGACAGAGTAGGCCATCTCTCACAAGTCCACATCTGGGCCTCCCAGACTCTGAGCCAGAGAGAAGCAAATTACAACTTAGGGCCTCCAGGTTCCAAAATTTGGACCTAACCTCCCTTTGGCAGAGGTTCCAGGAGCCAAATGCCTTTCTCTAGGGCCTTGGACTCCCTCTGCCCTTCTCCCACTCACCGAAAGACAGCTGAAGGAGTGGTAGCCAGAACTTTGCTGCCATCGGGGGACCAGAGCAGGTTGGTAACCCCACCTCCTCGAAACCAGGGAAGGGGAACACAGGTCTCTGTTGAGACATCCCACACCTAGGAGAGTGAGACAGAAAACTCAAGCACCCTATCATCTCACTGTGGGCTGCCCTCTTTAACATACAAAAAATAAGAAAGGAGGGAAAGCAGGAACAGGACTGTTGAGCATAAAGGTACATTGGTTCTGTTTTGAAAAGTCTAAAAGAGGCCGGGCACGGTGGCTCATGCCTGTAAACCTACCACTCTGGGAAGCCGAGGCAGGTGGATCGCTCAAGGTCAGGAGCTCGAAACCAGCCTGAGCAAGAGCGAGACCCCATCTCTACTAAAAAAAAAATAGAAAGAAATTAATTGGACAACTAAAAATATATAGAAAAAATTAGCCGGGCACATGCCTGTAGTCCCAGCTACTCGGGAGGCTGAGGCAGAAGGATTGCTTGAACCCAGGAGTTTGAGGTTGCTGTGAGCTAGACTGATGCCACGGGGCACTCTAGCCATGGCAACAGAGCAAGACTCTGTCTCAAAAAAAAAAAGTCTAAAAGAGGCAGGCTGCTGTGATCCTAGCACTCTGGGATCCTAGCACTCCACAGCTGAAGGAGTGGTAGCCAGAACTTTGGGAGGCCAAGGTGGGATGATCACTTGAGCTCAGGACTTTGAGATCAGCTTGAGCAAGAGCGAGACTCTGTTTACACAAAAAATAGAAAACTTAGCCAGGCATGGTGGCACATGCCCGTAGTCCCAGCTACTAGGGAGACTGAGGCAACAGGATTGCTTGAGCCCAGGAGTCTGAGGTTGCAGTGAGCTATGATTGCACCACTGTACTCTAGCCAGGGTGACAGAGAAAGACTTTGTCTCAAAAAACTAACTAAATAGATAAAGTCTAAAAGAAAAAGAAAAAAAAAAAAGGGCATGGGTTTATGTTTACAACTGCAGCAGGCAGAATTTCAAATCTGAGCAGTCTGGATGGGTTCAAGACTGAATGGACAATGATCACTCTCCTTCCCCCATATTTTCCACCAGGAGTTGAAGAATGTGCTTTCCTCGAGGCTGAGGGGTGGCTGAAATGACCACAAGAGGGGTGGGGGCCAACTCACCAGGATAGCAGCATCCACAGGTGAAGCTGAGAGCAGCCGCCCCCCACTGGGGGCCCAGGCTAAGCTGGTGACAGGTGTGTGCCCAGGGTGAGACAGCACTTGCGCACACCCAGAAGAGGGCCTGCCAAGAGGAAACAAAGTCAGAAAACGACAAGAAAGCCCCATGATTCTAATTCCTTGCCTCCTCCTGCCCTGCCTAAACTTTCTAATCTCAATGCCTCTCTGAGCTCAAATCCAGGTGGGGGGAAACAAATAAGGATCATGAAAGTTAAAGGAGAAAAAAAGGTGAAAGAAGAAAGGATAACGTCACTAGCAGCAGGTCTACAGAAAACAGGTCATCTGTAAAGTCTCAAGGCCAGATGAAACAGAGTAGGCCTCAAGAAGACCAGTCAAGCTAGAAGGTACTATGCTGGGAAGATGTAATGCCTGACCCCAGAAGAGAGCCCTCTCCCCACAGGCCATCCAGCCTGGCCATCCAGGGATAATCTATGGCACTACTGCAAGTTTCCATTCTCTGAGTTATCTAGCACTCCCAGAACTCCCTACCCTCCACAGCCACCTTTCTGCCCTTCCTTGTCAGAATGTCTCCCACCTCTGTGCTCCACACTTTTTGCTGCCTATCATAAAGATGCCAGATGTGGACTGACCTCTGTCACTAAGCTGGGAACCACCTGAGAGCACCTCCTATGTCTTCAGCTTTGTGTTTCCAGAGCCATGACCATGGCCTCACAGGTACAGGCTACTACCTGAAATAATGCCACCCTTTCCCTTTGCACCTAACTATAATATAAAACCACCTTTAGCTCTAAGGAGGTCTTAGGTCACTGATATGCAACGTATTCTTTCCAACTTTACAACAAATCGCATCTATCATTTCAGGTCAGTTCACAAAGATCCATCTTATTATTTTCAGTGGCTCCACCATGTTGTTCTGAATAGATGAACTGTAATTTATTCAGTCATGCTTCTACAAACGGACATGTGAGTTGTAATTTTTTATTACAAATGCTGTAAAAATATTTCCTATATCTACACCTTTTGTATTCATATTATTGCATAAACATTAAATTGGAAAAGGCTTACATCTTTTAAAAAACAAATATGTCAACGAATTATTTTCTGAAAAGTTTACAGTACAACATACTCTCGCACCATTTTGTATAAGAGTACCTGTTTTCCTTCTCTTACCAATACTGGATATAATAAAACTTCTTAATTTTAATTTCTTCCATATCTTCTCCTAGTCCTTTTATTTTTTATTTAATTTTATTATATATTTTTTAATTTATTTTATTATAAATTCATCTTTTTCTTTTTCTCAGCTTTAGGCAGTTGCTGTTCAACTACAGTCCTTTTATTTATTTACTTTTATATTTAGTTCTTTTGTCTGCTTAGAATTTATTTGTATATAAAGTGTGAAGCAAGGACTACCTTTACTATTTTCTTTTTTTTTTTCTGAGACAGAGTCTTGCTTTGTTGCCCAGGCTAGAGTGGAGTGCTGTGGGCATCAGCCTAGCACAGAACCTCAAACTCCTGGGCTCAAGCAATCCTGCTGCTCAGCCTCCTGAGTAACTGAGACTACAGGCATGCACAACCATGCCCGGCTAATTTTTTCTATATATATTAGTTGGTCAATTAATTTCTTTCTATTTATAGTAGAGACGGGGTCTTGCTCTTGCTCAGGCTGGTTTCGAACTCCTGACCTCGAGCAATCTGCCCACCTCCGTCTCCCAGAGTGCTAGGATTACAGGCCTGAGCCACCACGCCCGGCCTACCTTGATTATTTTCTAAATGGATAGCCAGTTATTCCAAATATCATTTAAGAAAAGAGGCGGCGCGTGGTGGCCACGCCTATAATCCTAGCACTATGGGAGGCTGAGGCACGTGGATTGTTCAAGGTCAGGAGTTCGAAACCAGCCTGAGCAAGACCCCATCTCTACTAAAAATAGAAAGAAACTAAATGACCAACTAAAAATATATATACAAAAAATTAGCCAGGCATGATGGCACATGCCTGTAGTCTCAGCTACTCGGCAGGCTGAGGCACTAGGGATAGCTTAAGCTCAGGAGATTGAGGTTGCTGTGAGCTAGGCTGACACCACGGCACTCACTCTAGCCTGAGCAACAAAAAGCGAGACTCTGTCTCAAAAAAAAAAAAAGAAAGAAAAAAAACTCAAGCCAGGTGCAATGGCTCAGGCGTGTTATCTGAGCTACTTGGGAGCCAGAGGTGGGAGGATCATTTGAGACCAGGAGTTTGAGACCAAGCTGGGCAACATAGTGAGATCTCCTTCTGTAAAAGAACGAACTATGATTGTGCCACTGCACTCCAGCCTGGGTGACAGACTGAAACCCCCTCTCTAAAAAAAACTAAATAATAAAATGAAAAATAAATTTAAAAAAAAGGAATAGGGCCAGGCGTGGTGGCTCATGCCTGTAATCCTAGCACTCTGGGAGGCCAAGGCAGGCGGATTGCTCGAGGTCAGGAGTTCAAAACCAGCCTTAGCAAGAGTGAGACCCCGTCTCTACTATAAATAGAAAGAAATTAATTGGCCAACTAAAATATATCGAAAAAATTAGCCGGGCATGGTGGCGCATGCCTGTTGTCCCAGCTACTCGGGAGGCTTGAGGCAGCAAGATTGCTTGAGCCCAGGAGTTTGAGGTTGCTGTGAGCTAAGCTGACGCCACGGCACTCATTCTAGCTTGGGCAACAAAGCAAGACTGTCAAAAAAAAAAAAAAAAAGAAATAAATCTGAACTTGATTGCAATGAAAAAGCAATTTTATCATATATTAAATTTCATGTATTCTTAGATCTATTCTGAATGTTATTCTGCTACATTGATCTGTTTGTCTATTCTTGCTGCAATAACTTCCTATTACTGTAGCTTTACAGAATATTTTCACAACTTGTAGGGCAAGTCTTCCCTGACTAGGCTTCATTTTCAAAATTTTCTTAGCAATTCTTCCACATTTATTCTTTCATAAAAACTCTAGGCTGGGCGGAGTGACTCACACCTGTAATCCTAGCACTCTGGGAGGCCAAGGCAGGCGGATAGCTCAAGGTCAGGAGCTAGAAACCAGCCTGAGCAAGAGCGAGACCTCGTCTCTACTAAAAATAGAAAGAAATTAATTGGCCAACTAAAAATATATAGAAAAAATTAGCCGGGCATGGTTGCGCATGCCTGTTGTCCCAGCTACTCGGGAGGCTGAGGCAGAAGGATGCTTGAGCCCAAGAGGTTTGAGGTTGCTGTGAGCTGGCTGAACGCCAGGCACTCTAGCCAGGGCAACAGAGTGAGACTCTGTCTCAAAAGAAAAACAAAAAACCAACTCTAAATATCATTTTGTCCAATCCACAATAACAAAAACCAAGCAGAATTCTGATTAGAATTACACTAAATTTCACATCTTTATGAGTAAAATTTTCCTATCTAACAATATAGCATGTTTTTCCATTTATTCAGCTCTTATTTAATACTTATTCTTTTTTTTTTTTTTTTTTTGAGACAGAGTCTCGCTTTGTTGTCCAGGCTAGAGTGAGTGCCGTGGCGTCAGCCTAGCTCACAGCAACCTCAAACTCCTGGGCTGGAGTGATCCTTCTGCCTCAGCCTCCCGAGTAGCTGGGACTACAGGCATGTGCCACCATGCCCGGCTAATTTTTCATATATATATCAGTTGGCCAATTAATTTCTTTCTATTTATAGTAGAGACGGGGTCTCGCTCTTGCTCAGGCTGGTTTTGAACTCCTGACCTTGAGCAATCCGCCCGCCTCGGCCTCCCAAGAGCTAGGATTACAGGCGTGAGCCACAGCGCCCGGCCCAATACTTATTCTTAAACAACTTTCTTCAGATGTCTGATAGACTAAATAAATTTAACAAGTTTTGTGTTTTTTTTTTGAGACAGAGGCTCACTCTGTAGCCCCAGCTACAGTGCTGTGGCATCAGCCTAGCTCACAGCAACCTCAAACTCCTGGGCTCAAGCAATCCTCCTGCCTCAGCCTCCGAGTAGCTGGGACTACAGGCATGTGCCACCACGCCCGGCTAATTTTTTCTATTTTTGGTAGAGATAAGGTCTCACTCTTGCTCGGGCTGGTCTCCAACTCCTGAGCTCAAATGATCTGCCCGCCTCGGCCTCCCAGAGTGCTAGGATTACAGGCGTGAGCCACCTCGCCTGGCTTTAACAAGTTTTTCTTTCAAGTTTTTTACTTGATACAGTAATAGTTGTACGCATTCTGGGGGTACTTGTGATGTTTAGATATATGCATACAATGTGTAACGATCAAATGAGAAGGGTAACTAGGACATCCATCACCCCAAATGTTCACCTGTTCTTTATGTTGGGAACATTCCATCTATTTTGAACTATACAATAGATTATTAACTATGGTCACCCTACTGTACTATGGAACACGGTATCTTTTTTTTTTTTTTGAGACAGAGTCTCACTCTGTTGCCGGGGCTAGAGTGCGATGGCGTCAGCCTAGCTCACAGCAACCTGAAACTCCTGGGCTCAAGTGATCCTCCTGCCTCAGCCTCCCGAGTAGCTGGACTACAGGTGCGCACCACCATGCCCAGCTAATTTTCTATTTTTTGTAGAGACAGGGTCTCGCTATGTTGCTAAGACTGGTCTTGAACTCCTGGCCTCAAGTTATCCTCCTGCCTTGGCCTCTCAAAGTGCTAGGATTACAGGCATGAGCCACCACACCTGGCCTTTATTCATAATTTAAAGAACAAGTTTCTGGTTTTATTTTGAGTTAGTTCTCATGAGATTCTTTTTCCAATTTCATTGGCTTCTAATCTTTTATGTACTCATTCTCTTCACCTTTCCTTTAGACTCTATTTGATAGTCCTCTGAAAAAGATAATCTTTCCAACCCATGATCCACAGGTACATTCTCCCAACAATCCCCAAAGCTCCAAATTCTGTGCCTTTCTCTAGATTAGAGTATTCTCAACAACCCACCTTGACCTTAGATTAGCTTCTCCCATACTCTTGGGAAATGTTGTGAGGACAAAGAATTCCTCCTTCCAGACATTCTTACCACCCACTAACCCTAGCATGGCTACAACCCTCAGGCCAAGGTAAGACAGGCTGCCAAGACTCACCGGGTAGACAAGGAGGTAGGGTCCAGGGTCCAGATGAGAATGCAGCTCTGGCAGGCCACAGCCAAGACAGAGGCACTGAGGGGCTTCCAGGCCAGAGTCGCCACATTTCGCTGCAGCCGGTGCTTCAGGGAGGGTACTATATTGCTGAAGTGAAGGTATAGGGAACTGAGTCAAAGCAGGGACACTAAAGGTCAGGGGACCACAGAGTGGTTAAGGATCGAAAGCCACAGAGAAGCAAGTTGATCCATCCAGGGCTCAGGGGTATAATGGGACAGAAGGAGAAAATAAAGTTTAGGTCCAGAAAGAGGACATATCCAATTATGGAGCTTCCCTGACCCCAGTTCTGGAAGAAGCCCTGTGGACGAGACTCAGGAACTGCAAGACTCTCTTGGGACCAAGACTGGAGAGGGAAGGGGAGATTGACAAGTCAGAGCCCACCTGGTACACCCACACATACCTGTTGGCATTATACACGCGGATTGAGTCATCTAGCAGGGCTACCGCAAACTTGTTGGTGTGGGGGTGCCATGCAAAGACACGCAAGCAGCAGCTGGACCTAAGGCAGAGTGAGCATGAAACATCAGAACCTGCACCTACCCATACCCCAGCCCAGAGGCTCAGATTGCTTCCCCATGAAGAGAGAGTTGTTTTCTACTTTTTCTTGTATTCCTTTTGGGGGTAGGGTGGGCCAAGAGGAATAAGAAATGTGGTGAGCAGTCAGGAAATGAATAGAAGTTTCTGCTTTGACATCTTTTTCCCCAGAAGTTGTTTCAAGGTCGGGCCTTCCTTCCCACAAAGCCCCAGAGCTTATGCACTCACCAATTTGTGACTTGGGCAAATTCAGCAATCAGATCTTCACTTCTGAGCTGTAGAGCAAAGCAGATAGAGCACACACTTGGACAAAAGGAGCTCATCCCCTCAACATTCCCACAGAGGAACCAATCTCCTACATGCAGTCAACACACCCAACCCTGACCTGAAGGGATAAGTGGGGCAGGGGTAGGGGAGGAGGCCAAACTTACAGACAGATGGGGGAACAGGGACCCATGGAGGGAGGAGGCCCATCGACAAAGTGCCAGGGCCCAGCTGGACGCCGTCTTCACCCACTCAAACACTATGGGATAGAGGAAGCAGCTCTGATTACACCATTCATAGGGCTCTTACTGGGCACCCTTAGGTAAAAGACAAGCAAGGACAAGCAATCCCCAGGTCCTTCTGCCCAGCAACACATCCACGCTGAGTTATTTGGGTAGGTAGGTAAAAATGGAGAAGAGGACAGGAAAAATAGCACTAAAGGGAATGAGGCTGGGCCAAATGAGTTCAAAGAGAATATGGAGAAGAGATAACAACCACTAGAGAAAGCAGGAGAGGAAAATACTTACCTTCCTCCTCTGAGTTTGCAATTTCATTCAGCACCCCAAAAACGCCCATATCACGCCTGATAAGGACAGGAAACTATGAGTCAGATTACCCTAATAACTCAGTCACTATAAGTTTCATTCATTCATTCCAGATACATGTATTAAAAATGTAGGCACTTTTTTTTTTTTTGAGACAGAGTCTCGCTTGTTGCCCAGGCTAGAGTGAGTGCCGTGGCGTCAGCCTAGCTCACAGCAACCTCAAACTCCTGGGCTCAAGTAATCCTTCTGCCTCAGCCTCCCGAGTAGCTGGGACTACAGGCATGCACCACCATGCCCGGATAATTTTTTATATATATATATATATTAGTTGGCCAATTAATTTCTTCCTATTTATATAGCGGGGTCTCGCTCTTGCTCAGGCTGGTTTCGAACTCCTGACCTCGAGCAATCCGCCCGCCTCAGCCTCCCAGAGTGCTAGGATTACAGGTGTGAGCCACCACGCCCAGCCGCTTTTTTTTTTTTTTTTGACAGAGTCTCACTTTGTTGCTCAGGCTAGAGTGAATGCCGTGGTGTCACCCTAGCTCACAGCAACCTCAAACTCCTGGGCTCAAGCAATCCTGCTGCCTCAGCCTCCCAAGTAGCTGGGACTACAGGCATGCGCCTCATGCCCGGCTAATTTTTTCTATATATATTCGTTGGCCAATTAATTTCTTTCTATTTTTAGTAGATGGGGTCTCACTCAGGCTGGTTTCTAACTCCTGACCTTGAGGGATCCGCCCGCCTCTGCCTCCCAGAGTGCTAGGATTACAGGCATGAGTCACCGCGCTGGCACTCACTTTTAATAAGTGCCAACTATGTACCAGGCACTCTATATATTGCCCTTTCATTTACTTATCACATTTATCTTCTGAATGGCATTCTGCCCATTTACAGATGAGCCAACTAAGGCTGAGAAATCTTCTGGGGCTTTGTGAGCAAGTCAAGGAGTCAGGATTTGCTCTAAGTCAGTAAATAAAAAGCCATGGAAGGGTTTTAAGCAAAGGAATAAGATGATCACATTAGTATTTTAGAAATATCAATCTGGGTCAGGTATGGGGGCTCACACCTATAATCCCAGCACTTTGGGAGGCCAAGGCCAAAGAACAGCTTGAGGCTAGGAACTCCAGGCCAGCCTGGGCAATAAGCAAGACCCTGTCTCTACAAAAAACTTTTTAAAAATTAGCCAGATGTTGGGGTTGCAGTGAGCTGTGATCATGCTACTGCACTCCAGCCTAGGCAACAAAGTGAGAACGTGTCTCAAAAAAAAATAAATATCAGTCTGTCTGTAGATTAGAGGAGGACAAGAATAGAGAGAAAGAAATCAGTTAAGAGGTTACTTCAGAAATCTAGAAAACGGTGAATGTGGCCTGAACCAGTAGGGTTGGAGAAAAGGAGACACATTAGAAGGACTCAGGAAGTAGCAGGAACAAGGTCTGAGGACTAATTAGACATTAGTAAGGAAAAGAGTAATATCAAAGGAAACATCTAGCTGATAATATTTTCCTTAATTTTTTTGTACTACCTATGTTGAACTAATGTAGGTTATATCAGCTAATATGCTTACAATATGCCAGGCCCTGGACTAGGTGCTTCATATGATCTAATTAAGCCATTATCACAACCCTACAAAACAGGTATTGAACAGGTATCACTGAATTGTTAGATGGGAGTACACAGGTGTGAAGAGGTTAGTTAATATGAACAAGATGACCTAAGTAGAAAGTAGCAAAGTCAGGATTCAACCATCTGTCTACCCCAGAGTCTACAATAAAAACACCTGCTCCTGAATGAAAAATATGATCATTCCTAGAAATGAAAATCCCAGGTTTGGAAAGGGAAATTAAGAGATTAGGTTTGAACATGCTGAATGTTTGAAGTCTGTGGAATAGCCAAGCAGGAGTATTTGTCAAACAAGTGAACACACAGGTCTGATGTATCAATTGTAAATACAACCCCAGGAACACCAACATTCAAGGAACATCAGGAAAAGGAGCCACCATAAAGGCTGAGAAGCAGCAGCTGGAGAGGTAGGAGGCAAGAAAGAGCCCAGGAATGAATGCCTTTTCAGACAGTGAATTGATGTTCAACTTCACTCTCACAGAGACATGCTAACGAAACTTTACTGCAATACTAAATATCAAAGTTTGATAGCACATGTGTTGGGAAACAGGCACTCTCATACACTGCTGTTGGGACCATATATATGTACAACTTCAACAGAGGACTATTTTGGCACAGCTCCCAAAATTACAGACGAATATACCCTTTGAACCTAGCAACTTACTTCCTAGAAATTCATCTTATAGATGATAATGGTAATAATAAAAATAAAAGTAATAGTAGCTGACCATTGAAGGGATTAGTACGTGCCAGGCACTGTTCTCTAAGTGCTTTACATCTATTAACTCATTTAATCATCACTACAACCTTGTAAGACAGGCTCCATATTACAGATGAGGAAACTGAGGCACAGACTGATTAAGTAATTTTCCCAAGGTCACACAGCTAAAAAGTGGCATAGTCAGAAAACGAACCCTGATCATGTGGTTCCACTCCTACAGGTGCAAAAGTGAATAACTTATGTATGAGATTATTCAATGCCACCTTATATCTAACCTGGCTGAGCTTCAGGTAAAAGCTCAGAAGTGGTAAGGATATGATGAGATGGGGGTAGCAAGCAAGTTCACATACTCAAACCAGAAGGCAAGGCAAGAAAGATGAAATGGAACTACTGTCGCACAACCTTGAGTTCCACAGTAAGGACTGATAATTTCATAGGATTTATGATATACAGCTGATGAAGAGAGTCTGGAAAAAAAAACCCAGCCTTTTGAAGAGCAGCACAAGGCACAGGGGTGGTGACCCCATTTTCTCCAAGATCTGCAGACCACGGCCCAGGAAATCCTTTGCCATTCCTCACCAAATGTTGATGCACCTCTTCCACACTTGCTCCCGGTGATGGATGAAGGCAGTCCTTGTGCCATGGTCCAGCCTCCCAGGGGTCTTTAGAGGATCCTTGGCCAGGTGTAGGACAGGAAGATTGATCCACTACAACAAAGATGTGAAGGGTGTGATAGTGAGTCAGTCTCTTCCCCAGATCCTTACTGAACTCCTGCCATCTCCAACCCATAACTGGGCTAAGTATAAGAGACTCCAGAGGCCTGTTTCCTTTTTCCACAAAATAGCACTTGTGAGTACGGGAAACGAGTCTTAGCTCCCTTATCTGTAAAACCAGAACAATATTTCATAGGGTTGCTGTCATTAATAAAGAGTAAAACATTTTTAGAAAGCACCCGACTCAGAGTCTCCTTACACAGCAAATGCTCAATTTGCTTCCTTTTCCTTCCCAGGAAAACCACGAAAAAAGGTTCCAAATTGTGCCTTCCCAGTTCTCCGACACTGTCCGCAAGTTTTTAATAGTTCTCCTGGAGCCTCACACTCCCTGGATTTGCCCTCCATTCTCTCCATCCTCTAGGCCCGCCCGAGAACTCCTCAGCATCCCTTATACTCCAATTCCAGCCCGAATATAGGTTCCAGCCCTGCTATTCTCCTGCCCCGGACATGCAGGTTCCAGTCCGACAGACTTGGCAACCCGCCCCACCCCTGCAGCCTCCTTTCCCCAGTTCTCCCTGACCCCTCCCCCGTGCCTGCAGGTCTCCCTCCCTCCTCGGCCCCTCCACCTGGCCCCGGAAGTCAGGAGGCGGGCTCTCATAGCTGTTGCCCGTCACCAGCTCGTTATTGTGCTCATATAGGGTGACTTGACCCCTAGGTGGTGGCGGTGGGAACAACGCCAGGGAGCACATTTTGCCGGTCCAGAGGACGTCTAGAGTCAGCAAACTCCTGGCCGGTGACAGCACAGATCCCACTGCGACTCTTAGTTCCCGGGCTACATTCGTATGCGGACGGGTAGCCGCACGGGACAAACAGCGACGCGAAGCTGAACGGAAGTGAAGTAAAGAAAAACGAGGAAGAAGGCTGCGTACGGAGTCCCGGGACAGACTTCCGGAGCTTCCTCGCACGCCACCTGGCGGTCGGAGGTGGAACAGCGCAGACACGTCTGCTGGACCAACTTTTGGTTAAGGGCTGACCGGAGGGGGTTGTGTGTGTTTTGTTTTGTTTTGTTTTGTTTTGTTTTTTCTGTGAGACTACGGCTTTTCCCGGCTCCGAATTCCCCAACACCTTTTCCCACTCACTCTCTCAGCTCTCGGAAAGGCCAAAATAAGCCACATTCAGGGAAGTACCTAATTAAACTCTCCTAGGCCTGTGAATCGTCCAAAGGAAAATACAGACTGTGTCACAGGCAGCTGGCTGGAAAGCTGAGGAAAAACCTCCGGGAGTAGAAAAGGCAGAGAGGAGACCTCAGGAGGGACAGGACTGCGCCCGCAGGGATCCTGGGCCTACAGGGTTAAGTGTCCTGGAAGGGGAGGTGGGGACAGTTGGAAAGCAGTAACGTTTCCTGAGCTCTTCTTACAGTAAGCGCTTATGTAATCTTTTCAACAACCTCATGAGCTGGGTACTGTTATATCACCGTGGGGAAAGTGAGGCCCAGAGAGGTTGGACCTAGATATACTCACACCAGTCATTCTGATTTAGGAATAAAAGTGAGGCTGGGCGCGGTGGCTCACGCCTGTAATCCTAGCTCTTGGGAGGCCGAGGCAGGCGGATTGCTCAAGGTCAGGAGTTCGAAACCAGCCTGAGCAAGAGCGAGACCCCGTCTCTACTATAAATAGAAAAAAATTAGCCAGGCATGGTGGCGCATGCCTGTAGTCCCAGCTACTCGGGAGGCTGAGGCAGGAGGATCGCTTGAGCCCAGGAGTTTGAGGTTGCTGTGAGCTAGCTGACGCCTCGCACTCACTCTAGCGCTGGGCAAACAAGGTGAGACTGTCAAAAAAAAAATTAAATAATAAAAGAAAAAAAGAATCCAGGGGGCATTCTAGTTCTAGCATTCTTGGATCCTGTGTCTGTCCCTCTCCTTTTTACCTGAAAAGTTCCCCCCAATAGTTATTCCCAGGTCAGAAAACAAAAGGCTCCAGAAAGTCTGAAAAAAGCCCCTCACCTAAGAAGGTAGGTAAATCTACTCCATCTAGTACTTCTCAAATGTTCAGGGATATAGGAATCACCTGAAGATCTTGTTAAAAATGAAGATTCTGGGGTGGAACTCAGAGGCCATATTTCCAAAGAACCCCACCAGTCGATACTGCACAGATCACATTTTAAGTAGCAAGGCGCTACAACTAACCTTTTCTCATAGCCTAATTTAATTTGCTAGATTAGTTCACTGTCACCTGGGAAGTTGCAGTAAGCTTAAAGAGCATAAAGTCTGAACTGGGGATAGTTTGGGGCACCTGGCTGAGAAAGGTCTCCCTGAGTAAAGGATTCAGGCAGGTTTAAAGAAGAGGGAGGCAGTGACTGACAGATTAGTGGACAGCACTGAGAACCCAATGTCAAAGTGTTTTTGAATTTTGGTCACAACAATAGCCAGCCCCTTATAACCTCTAAGAAATCACTCCTGCCTGCAACTTCCACCACCCTTTGATGAAGCCTCGATTTTTACCAACAGGTTATGTTACAATTATAGGGTAGGTGCTTGCCTCTTACCCTGTAATATGAACTGGAGAGAAGGAACAGTGCTATTCTGCCCCTTGCCCCCGCCCTGGCCTTGCCACCAGTACTGCCCCTCTCCCCCATACTGCTTAGTTAACGTTTGTTGAATGGTTTTCACAACTTGCGGGGTCTAGGGAGGGTCTAGGGAGGCCCAAGTCCAGGCCTCACGGGCTTCCCCAGCAACTTCACCAGGGAGCCTGGACACACAGCGACTGTGACCTGCCGCACAGTGGGCTCCCAGAACACTGAGCGGGCAGTCTTCGCAGGGTGGCTCCCTGCGACCTGGGCGGGAACCCGGGCAGCGCGCAGGCTGCGGCCTCAGACTTCTAAAAGCACCCCGCCCTCCCGCTACCGCATTGGGAGTCATCGCCGGAGCCTAGGTGCCTGGAGCTCGGCCCGCCGCCCCTTCCAGGGCCTGCAGAAGCCCGGCGCCCCGGCCCGGGGCCGGTAACCAGGCGCACATGGCCTGCCCGACCCTGTTTGTCCTGGCAGCGCGCCGCCGCTATTTGAGGCGGTTTTTATCTCCCAGAAACCAGCAAAACCCCAAGCGGAGTCTAGAGAAGATGAAAGAGGCCGAGGGGCTGGGGAGGGGAGGACCGCGAGGAGGCTGCGGCGGGCGGGAGCTGGCACCGGACAGGCGGAGACCCGGAGGCTAGAGGGCCAGACCCTGGGGGGTCCGGAGCAGCCTCCTAGCGGGGTGGGGCGAGATCCTGGGGGTCCACTCCCGGCCGCCTCCTCGCTCTGAGCAGCTCCAGGCCACCCCCTACATGCCCCTCATCCGCCCCAGCCTCCTCCCCTGTCTTTCTTCCGCCCCAGCCTCCTCCCCTGTCTTTCTTCCGCCACAGCCCCCAGCCCACTAAAGAAGTCCTGGGAACTCGGGTTTCTTCAAAGCGCCTTTGAAGCAGCGCGCCCAGCCAGAGGGCAGGATATTTCGCACCTGGGCGGGGGCTGGAGCAGCGGCTCTGAGGAGGGGGCTCATAACCCGAGTCCGGCCTGCTTGCCGCCCGGGATCCCCTCCCACCCGTTCCAGTGCCTCCAGCGCCTCTTCCAACCCGGCGAGGTGTCCCGTCCGACGTAGAGCTCAGCCAGGATTCGGGCCCAGGCCTGGCGGTGCGGCTCGTGCGCCCCCTTAGCCCAGCAGGGGAGCCCTGGGGGGGCGGGGGCCGCACAAAGCCCTATTATGGCTTGGGGAAAGGCCACCACAGAGTGGCTTTTGTTCCTACACTAACTCCGTGGCGGGCACGACTGATTGCAGGCCCGCGGAGGGGGCGGGTTACGTGCCAGGCGGGGTCCGCCCGCCGGGAGCAGCAGCACGGCCGGGCTGGGGTCACCGCAGTAGTCGGCTCTGCAACCGCGGTGCCTGTGCTCTGGCCGGGTCCCTGCCCTGCCCAATACTGGTTGGTGCAAAGTCTGAGAAGGGGCCAGGGGATAAACCACTGAGTCTTCCGAGCTCTAGAGAAAGCACTGTACGGTCCAAAACTGAACTCCGCCTGAGGGCTTGGCCACGGGAAAGCATGGCCAACACAGTATTTTACCGTGAGCATAATATGCAAACGTGCAAATAGAATATTCGTCCGTGGAGAGTCTTCAGTTTGCTAAGGAAAAATCCTGTGGCCCACCCTTCACCGTTCCTCTTCCCCTTTTCTCACCAGAACAAATTTTCAAATCAAAATTGTATTTATTAAATTAAAAAAAAAGACTCCACAAGGGCATGATTCCTTCCCTTCCACAACATTACCCTCTCCCCAAGCTCCAGCGGCTTTAACCCTTTAACTTGGGGCCTTGAGGGAGCAGGGGGGACAGATAGAAAAGGAGGATCCAAAGTCACAGGAAAGGCATTTAAAGGCACTAAGCGGCTTTAGAAGTCACTGAAGGTGGAGTTGGGAGCATCGGAAGTCCCAGGTTAGGGGCCTATGGATGCACCTCCAAATCAGCGTGGGGTGTCCTCCTAGCTCTATAAATTCTTCTTTCTCATGGCTTCTAGGCACCAGGCCTAGTACAGTGCCTTGCACAGAGTAGGCACTCAATAAATACTTGATTTATTTGAATCTGATCCCAGAGAAAGTCTTCCAGACCCATTCTTCAGGAGGGGCACCTCCAAACCAGTGTCCTCCTGTTAGGTGGGCTTCTCCAAAGAGCATGTCTAAGATGGCAGCTGTAAACTCTCCATAACCATGGCAACAGGGGATTAGCCTGATGGGGTCATGGTGTCTGGGGGAAGGGGCAGTGGAAGAACCTGCTCTGGGGTCAAGGGAGGTGGTGTGCATTCCAGTCCTTCTCCCCTCCATAGGACTTGAGGTTTCACAGCTTCTGGCTTGGGCTGGGTATATTAGGGATCCCCTAATTGAGAGATACCCCATCAACTCTTTAACAGAGATCTAGTTAACTAACCGAATTTGTAGAAACTCTATTAAAAGAGAAACACGTTAACTGAGACCCCGATAATAGAAAGTCTATTAACAAGATCTCCACTAATACTTTGTGTGTACAGAGATGCGTTAGGCTAGAATTTCCTTAGCAGAATTGGATCCCCTTCCCTCCCCAGCTCACTCTAACTGACCCGTCATCATAACTTAGATAAATAGAATTATTATTACTATTCATTACTCCTGGTACATAGGGGTTAAATATACAGGCCTGGGGGCAGCCTCCCTGACCCTGGGGTCACCCCATCTTTGGGATCAGATCCCCACTGGTCTGCCCCCCTCTTGGCACCCTGCTCCTGGCCAGGTCATTAACCCCAATCCCCCCCTAACTCTGGTCTCTAATGAAGAGGCCACCAGGGGGCAATAAATTATCATCATCATCATCACTGTGTTTGTATAAAGGAAAAAAGCTTTGGAGAATGGAAAGCAGTAGAATAAGAGCTGGGAAGACTGGAGCCTGGAAGCTGATGGATAGCAGTAAATAAGCTTGGGAAGGAAAAAGGGCATATGACAATCAAGGAGATAGTGAGATGTAGAAATAGTGTTGGGAACCCAAATGGAAGGAAGGCAAGTTGGTGTGGCAAAAGCCAGGCAGAGACAAGCTG